GAAACACCGATGAGTTTGTGTCCGTTTTGAAGACATTTCTGGACATAAACTTTCCACAAATGATGAGAGAATGTCAGCATTTGATTGAATTGAATGCAATCACAAACAACTTATGGCTGGAAGTGATGGACGACGTGGCCAAAGGGCGTTCACCCGATGGTCTCAGCATTTCGTACACTAGACGACCGCCACCCTCACTGCCGGCTTATACAGTTCGGGAAATAGCTATGCCAACAATATTTAGCTCACAATTAGTAAATTTTTTGTAGGTTTAGTACATTAAGTTGGTATATTCCCCCTCCAACCTAGTGCTAAATAAAATTATTATTATTATTATTATAAATCAAAAAGCTAAATTTAAGCAAAGTTTTGATGAATAATAAACTTTTATGAGCATTTAATGTACTCACACCAAGTTTGTTTAATACAATTATAATATAATTATTTAATTTTATGCATTCAATGTCAAATTATTGTTTTTTCTTAAGTTAAGTTTAACTAATGATTGTTTCTAAAAATATTATTATTTTGAAAAATAAAAAAGTTTTGCCACGATTTAAAATAAATTTCAATTATTAGTTAAATTTCAATTATTAGTTAATTGCTTAATTTCTTTTTTTTACATATATTAATCTCTTAATTTGATTAAAAATATTTAATGATAATATTAAAATAAGATTTATTATATTTTATATGTCTACTATCTCAAATTATTATGATATATTCAGCTATATATTTATATTTGCAATATTAAAAGCATTACACAATATGCTGATAATATGAACAAAATTCACTTGGATTAGTAGTTTAATAACTTTTCCAAAATAGTAAAGTAGTATGCACTAAAGTTTACATTATGTATAACTTATATAGTAAATGTATGTATAAGCATACTATTTGTACTAAAAGCACTAACATTTGCGTCTGAAATGCTTAATTATGTACTAACAATAATAAAAACAATAATTATTACAATTAATGTCATTTATTTTACTAGTTATAAATAATTTATTGCTGATGGCCAAACTCATAGATATTAATTTGTGAGTTGTTTTAGTACATATAGTACATTGTATATTAAGTTCAATCAGGGTTTTTATATCAAATTTAGTGAATTTACATGTTTTGAGTGCATTTAGAGATATTTCCAAATGATTTAATAGAAAATCAAGTTTTATACAACTTTTAAGCAATTCTAACCGGAATTTTATATAAAAACATCCATCAGTTTTCAAATTCAATCAGTCTTTTAATTTATATTTTACTTTAAATTTCTTATAAGTTAATTATAATTTAAACTTTTACAATGGATTTAAGTTTATATAATTCGTATGCAGTGTATGCCATACTATCAACTCTACCTCTCATTTATTGGTTTGTAATATAATAATAATTTTAAAATTCAATATTATATTAAATATAATATTTTATAATCAGGTATTTTACAAGAAATTTCAATTACTGGTCGTCGCGGGGCATAACGGGTCCCAAACCTATCGTATGGTTTGGCAATATTTTGAGTCAATTCATTACTCCCCGACCACTGCTTGAAATGCAATGGTATCGCAAATACGGCAAACTATATGGGTTTGTTAACTTGGTCAAATTTCGTCTAATTAATCATGTTTTAAATAAATCTTGTTTATTATGTTTATACAGACTATATGTGGGAAATAAGCCGGTTCTTCGTGTGGGTGATCCCGAGCTCATCAAAACCATATTAGTAAAGGACTTCCATATGTTTCCGGAGCGACAGCCGGAGCAAAAACTGCACCCAATTCTAGACAAAAATCTGGTGGCCGTTAACGGCGACGACTGGAAACGGATCCGATCGCTGGCCAGCCCTACGTTCAGTTCGGGCAAAATGAAGAAAATGTATCCAATGATCAAACAGTGTTTGGAGGAGTTTCTCAATGAGTTGAACACTTACGCTACGGAGGGTCGGGAGGCGAACGTGAAAGACCTGTACGGCAACTATACAATGGATGTGATCGCCACGTGTGCCTTCGCCACCAAAACCAACGCCCATAAGGACCCCAACAACCCGTTCATAAAGAATGCTCGGCTTATCTTCGCGACAAATGTGACCAAAATAATTGCCATATTATTGCTCCCAAAACCCCTCTTAAGACGTCTTGGGATTCAGTCCCAAATGGATGAGTCGGCCAATGAGTTCTTCTTTAATCTCACGCGACATATCATTAAACAGCGAAAGAGTGGGAATCAAAAGTACAAAGATTTCATTGATCTGCTATTGAATGCCGAGAAAAATAGTAATATTATTGCCGATGAAAACGATGCCAACGAATCGCATCACGTGAACGAAGGTTTGTATTGATTTTCATATAATCCTAATTATTTCATTAATTGTTTTTGAAATTACTTTAATAATTATTTATAAAATGATTTATTAGGTGAGGAAGAGCTGGAAATACAAAAGTCAACACTAAATGGCATTAAGAAGTATATAACTGAAGACGAAATACTGGCGAACGCGTGGATCTTCTTTCAGATAATGAATTGACTCAAAATATTGCCAAACCATACGATAGGTTTGGGACCCGTTATGCCCCGCGACGACCAGTAATTGAAATTTCTTGTAAAATACCTGATTATAAAATATTATATTTAATATAATATAGAGTTTTAAAATTATTATTATATTACAAACCAATAAATGAGAGGTAGAGTTGATAGTATGCCATACACTGCATACGAATTATATAAACTTAAATCCATCGTAAAATTTTTAATTATAATTAACTCATAACAAATTGAAAGTAAAATTTAAAGTAAAATATAAATTAAAAGACTAATTGAATTTGAAAACTGATTTGTGTTTTTATATAAAATTCCGGTTAGAATTGCTTAAAAGTTGTATAAAACTTGATTTTCAATTAAATCATTCAGGAAATATCTCTAAATGCACTCAAAACATGTAAATTCACTAAATTTTATATAAAAACCCTGATTGAACTTAATATACAATGTACTATATGTACTAAAACAACTTACAAAATAATATCTATGAGTTTGGCCATCAGCAATAAATTATTTATAACTAGTAAAATAAATGACATTAATTGTAATAATTATTGTTTTTATTATTGTTAGTACATAATTAAGCCTTACAGACGCAAATGTTAGTGCTTTTAGTACAAATAGTATGCTTATACATACATTTACTATATAAGTTATAAAGTTACATAATGTAAACTTTAGTGCACACTACTTTACTAACTTGGAAAAGTTATTAAACTATTAAACCAAGTGAATTTTGTTCATATTATCAGCATATTGTGTACTGCTTTTAATATTGCAAATATAAATATATAGCTTAATTTAATTATTATGTTAAATTTGTATATCATAATAATTTTAGATAGTAGACATATAAAATATATAAAATCTTATTTTAATATTATCATTAAATATTTTAAATCAAATTAAGAGATTAATATATGTAAAAATGAAATCAAACAATTAACTAATAATTAAAATTTATTTTAAATCATGGCAAAGCTTTTTTATTTTCATAAATAATAATATTTTTAGAAACACAATCATTAGTTAAACTTAACTTAAGAAAAAACAATAATTTGGCATTGGATGCATAAAATTAAATAATTATATTATAATTGTATTAAACAAACTTGGTGTGAGTACATTAAATGCTCATAAAAGTTTATTATTCATCAAAACTTTGCTTAAATTTAGCTTTTTTTTATTTATAATAATAATAATAATAATAATTTTATTTAGCACTAGGTTGGAGGGGGAATATACCAACTTAATGTACTAAACCTACAAAAAATTTACTAATTGTGAGCTAAATATTGTTGGCATAGCTATTTGCCGAACTGTATAAGCCGGCAGTGAGTGTGGCGGTCGTCTAGTGTACGAAATGCTGAGACCATGGGGTGAACGCCCTTTGGCCACGTCGTCGTAGTGAAGGTCGGTATTCAACAAACACTAACGTAAGTTAAGTTAGTTTACGACTGTAAGAGAGTAGTAAACACCTTTCAAATACAGGTCTTTACAGAAGTTTTGCCTGTGTTTGAGTAGCCACAAAGCGTCGAGTTTGTACACAACTGTGGCCACAGAGACCACGTTCTCGACGGTCAACAGTGCGGCCAATCGGGTGCCCAACGCGTCGCTCAGCGCACGCATCCGATACGTGTGGGCCATGTCTGCGATCGTTTCCATTGTCTCTATAGTGACCATTGGCTCCAAGTGTTTGCCGATGGCGTCCACCAAACGGATCACACGGTATCGGTCGGCGCATTGGAGGACATCGCCGATGAGTTGGAGGTCACTGTCGTCGGTGAGGATCAGCTCTCGTAAGTACATAAAACCAATCATCGTTTTGAAGGCGTCGGCAGTCGTGTCCTTAATCGGGATCTCTTTGGCCGCCGACTCTGTGTATTCGCCCGAAAACATGCGGTCAAAGACATTGCTATTGATCTCTAAGACACCCTTTTTTGCGGGCACTCTCTGGCCGTCGACTTTGAAGACCACATCACTCGTGGATTCGTTGAATAAGTGTTTCCTTTCGGGAAACCTCTCGTCTTCGTCATCGATGGCTGTCTTCCGTCTCTTTGTCTTTGACTGCAATTCAAAAATCAATTGTCAAACGAGTGGTTGAATTGTCTAATGGCGTGAATATGATTACCCGTTTGGACGTGTTTTGCGAGCCGTTGTCTGCCATCAAAATTCAAGTCAATTGATTGTCAATAAGTTGTATGAATTGATTGCTTTACAAGAGTTTTGTGGTCAACACAACTGACAGTTAAACTCCAAAAATAAGTTCACAATTAATAAAACAATTGAATGTTTGAATTGAAATCAAAACGTGATATAAATTACACTACAATTGGTTTGCGATTTAATCACACATTTAATGACAATTAGTTTTACTCTTCATTTCATGAGTTTTGTGTTGAGTTTACAGATAGTGAATACCTATTGATATGAAAATGGGTTAACTATTAACACTATTAATGCCTGCAATCAGTGTCTGTTAACAGCTTTTGTTTTTAATGATTATTGACTTAAACTTTTATACAGTACATTGTACGAGGTCATTATGACTTTATGAGCACTTTATTAAAGTTATGCTAAAAACCAAAAAACCAAAAATACAAATATTTGTGAATTATATTAAGTGTTAGTAAAAAATTTAGTCCAAAAGTGAAAGAATATATACAAAGTATGAATTATAAGGAAAGCCAACAATAGATAAGACGGAACTTTAGTGAATATGATTACCCGTTTGGACGTGTTTTGCGAGCCGTTGTCTGCCATCAAAATTCAAGTCAATTGATTGTCAATAAGTTGTATGAATTGATTGCTTTACAAGAGTTTTGTGGTCAACACAACTGCCAGTTATACTCCAAAAATAAGTTCACAATTAATAAAACAATTGAATGTTTGAATTGAAATCAAAACGTGATATAAATTACACTACAATTGGTTTGCGATTTAATCACACATTGAATGACAATTAGTTTTACTCTTCATTTCATGAGTTTTGTGTTGAGTTTACATTTAGTGAATACCTATTGATATGAAAATGGGTTAACTATTAACACTACTAATGCCTGCATTCAGTGTCTGTTAACAGCTTTTGTTTTCAATGATTATTGACTTAAACTTTTATACAGTACAGTACAGTACGAGGTCATTATGACTTTATGAGCACTTTATTAAAGTTAAATTTATGTTAAAAACAAAAAAACCAAAAATACAAATATTTGTGAATTATATTAAGTGTTAGTAAAAAATTTAGTCCAAAAGTGAAAGAATATATACAAAGTATGAATTATAAGGAAAGCCAACAATAGATAAGACGGAACTTTACGGGTCTTTGCGCTCAAATTCATGTAAACCTGAAGTAATAGGAATACAAACGATATCTTCACAAATAGTATGGCCTTTGCGTGCATTCTGTAGTTAATCTTCGATGGGATGTACACGTGATATATCAGATACCTGTCCACCATATGCTTGGTTATCATGTAAAACAGACCTTTCCATACAAACCATGAAAGTTTTATTTGAAAATTAGTTCACATTTTAATAAAGTTTCATGTATTTCAATGCAAAGTGATATCAAACTAGATAAGAATCATAACAATGGAAAATTTGGAGAGAGAGAGAGAGAGAGAGATTCACCTGGTACTGTATGTTTCCCACAGATAATGGTCCATTCTTCAAAGAGAGAGAGAGAGAGAGAGAGAGAGAGAGAGAGAGAGCAATATTCATGACAATAATTATTAACAATGAAATACTGCAACTGTACTCATGATTATGTTATAGATACCTATGGGTGCGATCAATGGGTTGGATATACTAAATGTGACCACAAGTGTCAATATTAATAGTATTCTGGGATAATAAGTGCCAAAATGAAACTCAAATTGCGTGAGTTGTCGGGCCGTCAAATACTCGGCCGGACTCCTCGACACCACTACTAAACACAGTATATATGACACCAATTCTGGCAAACGGGTCAACTCGAGTGAATTGCCGATCGTTGCGGTGGCCAATACATAGTTGATGAAGAATGGACCATTATCTGTGGGAAACATACAGTACCAGGTGAATCTCTTCACATCCATCCACGACATCAGTGTTCCGAAAAGTCTGTGTTATCCACAAAAGAGGTTTCAAATGGATTATTGAATACTTTGCTTATATTGTTATTTGTATAAATTGATGCAATCATTACGTAATACTGGAGATTGAGGGTAGGATTAGGACCATTAGAATGAGATAGATATACGACTTATACATAATCGCGTGATTGTATTCGGATTTTGTATGAAAAGGTATGAATTGTGTCAACAGTTTGACAAAAGTGGGTAAAAGCGATGCCATTATCATCAGAGTTAACGTCGGGACGTATGATATAAACATTTTGGTCTTTTCTCACACAAATTGTGATACAAATTATAATTAAAATAAATTGAATACTAGAATGGGTTGAATACTGACCACTTTATCCTGATCATTGGTAAATTCAGGCACTTCTTCGATGGTCTGATTGAACGCTGGCATCGATTTGACTAAATATATGACCGAATAGGGCGTCGATAGGAATAGAAATATGATTATTATCACTAAATTGAGCACTACTTCCAGTGTTATTATTTTAGTTCTTGTGGCAGAGATGTCAGTCCTGTAATTCATTGTGTGATTAAATGTGTTCAACAAATGGTTTACTTTACCATTGAATATCATCGGGAAAGGGGGCGAACGAGACCCTCCATTGCCAGGACTCGAGTGGATCAGATTTATGTCCAAATATCCATTTACACAATACAGACAATGAATGACAGACATAAAGACGGTAGTAATTGTATACTCTTTAAAACAGTTAATTATAATGTAAATCAAAATCTATTAAAATATATGTGAAATACACTCACTTTTTGGCATCAGATTTACGATCAAAGACAATAAAGACTATCCTCTGAGGACGAGACACAGCGTTGTCGAGCTCTTTGTTGATGTCCTCCTCGAGATTGACCTTCTCTTGTGTGTAGAACTCCAAAGCGTCCACTTTTGGGAACCAATAACAACAACCCATGAAACCCAATATATTTCCCAGAATATAAGGCCTCACTTCGCACTTCTGGCCGTAAGTCCTCTCGTAATACAAACAGTATCTCTTGGCCTCAATTGTGGTCAAAAGTTTCTTCATTAAACTCAATATCTCTTCGATATCGTAGACAAAAGTGATCCGTCGGACGGATATATTGGGGAACTGTTTAGACAAAAAGTCGTCCACCGATTGGGTGTCTCTTTTGGATTCGGGAATATTCTCTATCATTAGTATCTTTCTATCGATGTTTATCTCTCGCGAACTGATAATTGTGGAGAAACTCTCCATCAGATAAATGCCCTAAATTTTACACCAAAAATACAGTGAGATTTAAAATATGACATAAAATTTAATATTTTACACACCATTGCGACGATGAGTAGTGTCATGAGTGCGTGAATCCAAATGAACTTAGAGTTTGGTTTAATGTTGAGAAGTGTGGTCTTCTTGTAGGCCACTTCGTCCAATCGGTCCAAACGTTTTCCATACAAATTGAGGGGCAAAATGATAACCAAACAGATGATTGTCATACACGCCATAAAGTAGATTAGATATCGTTGAAAGAGCACGTATTGAAGCGCATCCACGCCTCTCTTCTGGAGAATGTCCTTATCCTTGATATACATGTATTTAATGATCCATTCCTTTAACGTCTTCGCGCTGTCATCGACCTATAAATGGGAGATAACAATGGATTTAGCAAACAATATAGCGGTCAACATATGTTCAAGTGTTTACCTTCTTGTGGTGAATATGTGTGGATGGCTTCGAAGACAGACTCTTAACACTGTCGGTGTCGTCGCCCTTCAACACTGCCTTCAAGAGTGAGAGTTCGTGCTCTTCTTCGCTGACGGGTGTCTCCGCTTTTTTAGTTGGTTTCCGGTGGACGACGACGGGCTCTATCGGCTCAATAGGGTTAAGAGTCGGCAGACTAGAGGGCGATAGAGTCGGTAAATTTCCCGACTCGAGGGAAGACAGGCCGTGAGGCAAACCGTGTTGTTTTAGTCGCGTCGGCACAATACCACTGGCGATCACTTCAGTCGCTTTATTTCCCTTTGATTTACTGGGTTTCAGATTACTTGTGCCGCCGATAGTTGTGTTGAATAGTTTGATAGTCGAGGGGTCTTCGGTGTTGTCGTCGTCGCGCCTCACTTTATCACCGATGAGGGCGTCATTGGTGTGCAAAATGATGGGTAAATAAGCCTTCGGGTGCTTTCGGTTAATCTGTTTGTCGGTGTAATAGATGTCTTCACTGGACTTCTTGTTGTCGTATATGAATTGAAGAAAACTTATAATCAGAGAAAATAAAGACATTTTTAATTAAATAATATGTTTATTAGTTTGTAGTCTATTATTATATACTCAGTGTTAAGATGTGTTTTGGGAGCCTTTATGTAATGTTTGTCTTTGACAATGGATCGCCTCCGAAGAATGGCAATTAAAATCAAAAATACCTGTTTTGTATGAGAGAATCAAACAAATCTAATGTATAGATTATAATAAGGATTGTGGCAAACACTACATACGGCAGCCATGACCACATTGATGCCAATGGCGGTGGGAATGCCCTCCCATCCGGGCACGAGTGCCGAAAATGAATTGTTTGTCGTCAGTATTGAACACCGACTTAGGATCACCTTTTCGTCCACCCCTTGAGGCAAACTCCCTGTTATGTCATCTATAAGACTGCTATTCATAAAATCGGCTAATCCTGACCTTTCCTGCACTCGCGCCATATCGACCGATACAACCAATTGGTTGTCTTATTTGGTGTCAAACAATTGGTATCTTTTATTTCTAGATTAGTTTATTTGCAAATGTATTGACAAAATTGAATTGAAGTTTGAATCGACACTAAAATTGCTAAACACTATCACTGGCTGTAAATCTCGCGAAAACTTTTTATTGCCTTTGAATTGAATGAAAAGTTTGTATAGAAGTCAATGGATTGTGTGTTGAATGCATTGTAAGGGCGAGAACTGTATTCCACGCAAACATTCATTTCTCTGATTCTCTGTAATGAACAGAATGTAAGCACTGGTAGACCCGACCCAACACTGCCTGCGCTCGCAATACAAACTGTTAAACAACTGTAAAGACTTGACTCTCAAGTAAATTGTGTTTATTATATTGTCTTAAACACTGGTTAACACATATTGTGTCCATATTTTGTTACATTTGTGAACTGATAGCGAAGTGAATGTATTTTGAATTGTATTTGAATTGATGTGAGAAGTGATGGCAGAGGAGAAGAATACGGGCGACAAGAATGCCGTCAAAAATGCCGAAGAATTGGCAAAACAGGCAAAGATTGAATTGGAGACAATTGCAGCCAAAGCCGAGATACAGACCATTATCTCTAAATGTCCGCAAATCAAACAAATCTGTTCTTTGACTTTCAAAGACAGCGAATTGGCCGCTCATATCGTATGACATCTCTCTCTCTCTCTCTCTCTTTCTCTCTCTTTCTCTCTCTCAAAATTTAATTGTGTTTTTCTTACGATTAGTCGAAACCAATGATTAGATGCACAAACGATATCAAAATTGAAGACCTGTTCCGTCAAGTGATTCACAAACAGTGGAAACTGATTAGTCCTCGAATTGTACTCTTCATTATCTCAAGTGTCGGACCACTCAATAGCTGGAAGAATACAAAACAAATCCAAAGTTTCCAAAAGGGTTTAATGAAAGTATGGCTAAAACAGGAAACTATATAATTGTGTTAATCTCTAAACCAATTGATTGAATGTTTTAATGTGTGAAAAGGCGGCCGAAAACACAAACATGTGGTTAATAGCGCACGGCGTGGACACCGGGTCCACCACTTTGGTCGGCGATGCGGTCAGGGATTACGTGACCGAAGCTAAGTATAAGAAGGCCGTGGAGTACGAGACGTCGTTCAAGAAATTCGAGTTCATTGGGATTGCGAACGAAAACGCATTGAAATACAAGGAAACCATCACTAAAAGCGAAGATGTAATCCATTGAAACATTCATTATTTGATTGTATTATTAAATATATATCTATTTAAACACATTTTAGCTGAAGATATCGATTGGAGCGGAAGGAGTGGACTCCGAGGCGAGAGATAAACACGAATTGAATCAAAATCTAACGCATTTTATTATAATCAAAGACATAACGCCCGACAAGACTGGCGTTAATATATTTCTCAGTAAATTCGCCACATTTTTGGCCACAAACCAGCAAATGGTTCCCAGAGAGCCGACGCCAGCGGAGGGCGGAGTGTCAGCCATTGAGAACGACATGATCTCTGTGGAGATCAGCGAAGTGCCCGTCGTGTCCATTGTGTTGAACGGCGGTTACAACACCTCTAATCTGGTGTTACAACAGATCAAGAATCGACTGCCGGTTGTAGTGATGAAAGGGTCGGGCGGTTTGGCCGACCTCTTGGCTTTTGTCGACGAGGAGATTCACGACCGATGTGTCGACACATGGAGTACAGAGTACGTCAACTCATACCTCAAACCGGAGCTCAACATTAAAATCATCGAAACGTTTGTCAATTTGCGTAATAATCCTCCGCTTTGTGACGATTTTCGGGACCGCATACTAGATATTGTCCGCCAGAGTCGTCGACACGGACTCAACTTCTTGACCGTCATTAACATGAAAGACGACTTCTCTTGCAATTTGGAGAATCTGTCGGAATATCTTCTGTTGGCTTTGTTTCGGTCGCAGCGCTCGCAGGAGATCGACGTCGACGTGACCGCCGAGACGGCCACCGCTGTCGTCAAGCCCTCCGCTTCTCAGATACGCAAAGACCTGAACCTATGTCTGGACTGGAACTGCCCGTCAGTGGCCAAAGACGAAGTGCTGCCCAAAGACCCGAAGTTCGCGCTCAGCAGTGAGAAGAAGCTGTTCGAAGAGGCGCTGCTGAGGACCACTTGTCTCAA